GGTAGGGACTTTAACCCTAGTGTTATTATAAGACATCATCAAACTTTTCAATGGCTGGTGTCTCATGCGCAGTCCCCTGCACATCAGGCAAAGTGAGACACCTACTTAACGCCGGGCGCCACTTGAGCGTTAAATGACTTATCCATCTTGGCCACGTGAGTAACAACTTCCGCTAGAACACTTGTTGCTACTAATCAGTAAGAGTGGGTTTTGTGATGATGTCCTGTCGTTGTATTATTTCTTCTTTCTTCACCAATTCCAATAAATGACTATACGCTTTTGTCCCAAAGCTTAGGGAGATTAGAGTGTGAGCCAAGGCTCCACTTTTACGGGAGCTAACCTTCCCCCTGACTACCTCGTTACCCCAGGCATGGGGGGCCGATCCTGTTACCAGAGCGTGGTCCAGTTTACCTGGGTCATAGAAACAAGGTCAGAGGCAAACGGCAGGGGACTTTAGACAAACTTTGCCCGTAATACCCAGAGCACATGCAGCCGAAGTGTTAGAAAATTGCATTAACAGATCGCATTTGTGGCGGCATGTCCGTCATTTTAAACTGACACAAAACATAAGAATTAAGAGCTGACCCAGATGAGACTGAGTTTAAGACCTGGCTTTTGAATTTAGGTGATGGTTCCCTAAAATCCTCTGATCTTCATGCTGAGCCTGGCCAAATTGACATACCTCCCCAGTGCAATATAACTAATAATGTCATTAATGATATATTCCCAGACTTTAATGTTGATAGATCACATGATGTCATTGTAACTCCACTGAATACGGATGTCGACACAATCAACAGTAAGGTTATCAATATATTTAGACCAGAAGTCTTGCCCGTCAGTTATTTTAGTGTAGATACTGTTATTGAAGATGAGAATGATGAAGTCTCAAATATAACTACTGAGTTTCTTAATTCTGTCACCCCCAGTGGATGCCAGAACATGATTTAAAGTTAAAGGAAGGATGTCCTATCATTTTAATTCGAAATTTAGACCAAAAAAAGGGTCTCTGTAATGGTACACGGTTGATAGTTAAATCTTTGGGAGCTAGAATTATTGAGGCCGAAATTATTTCCGGATCAAGATATTTTATTGGTAATAAAGTTTTCATACCAAGAATTAAATTATGTCCATCCGATTTGACTGTACCATTTAAGTTTGAACGAGTACAATTTCCTGTTAAATTAGCATATTGTTTAACTATCAATAAAAGTCAGGGTCAAGGATTTGATAAAATAGGAATTTGTTTACCTTTGCCTGTTTTCTCGCATGGCCAATTATATGTAGCTTTTTCAAGAGGCAAGCGTTTTAATGGTATCTATATTGAAATATCTGACACCCCACATCAATTCTCAAATGCATCAATAAACGTTGGCAGAACAGTAAACGTTGTATATAATGTCTAATTATATAGATCATAACGATAATCAATCCAACAACATTTGAATTAATCTAACTAACTCTAAGTATGAGCCATGAGGACCGTACAAATATTATCATCAACTTCAACTGACGTTCGGATTCTTATTGTTCAACTCCAACATCAATATTATAATTCGAAAGATTATTTGCTGATAAAAGTGAACTAATGTAGTGTTAGACATTTTGTCCCTACATGGGCTTCCGGCCGTGCGTCCATGTAGATTGTAGGAGATGTGGGGCCTCCCGAGTGATAGGGTTACAGTGACTGTTAGTAGGGAAAGTATGAAGTTTATATCAGTAGACACAATTACCGAACGCAGGGCATTGGCTCGACCTCCGAGACAGGGTATCCGCGAGGACCCTGGTCGTAATCAGCTCTGCACTGTTTCAGTGTATCCTGATGCTATGCCTGAAATCTAGGACACTGTCTACGTACGGGGTAGACTGCCACGGACGATTGACTCTATTGCTATCTTAGTTCACTTTTTGACATGAGCCAAATGTTCAATTTGATAGAAACAGAATTTGATAAAAGGGGAATTGTAATTCCTGCTTCGTTTCTGTTTCGAATCTTTCTGTATTATAATACATTTTTCATTCATAATACTATTCACAGTTGCGATGTATCATTAATCATTATGTGTACAGATTTTATTTTATTATATCATTCAGTTTTATGTTATTTTATGTTCTGTCATTGTATACTTTGTATAACGATGATTATGTATGATTATATATTTTTACGTTTCATTCCCTTCATGTTATTTGATTTAGTTATTCACATTTTACATTTATAATTATATTTCGTTCGTTACGCTATTCACAAAACTTGCATCATGCATGTTTACGATTTGAGAAGAGACAATGGATTTTAAAAGAGGCAATGAAAATTTTGTCAAGATTTATATTGATGAACCTGATTTTAGCGGAAAGGGTAAAAGAAGGAGTAAGAGAAAGTGATGTATCTATTATCTATGATGTATTATTATTATGTGTAGAGATTTTATTTAATTATGTCAGCCTTATAGACTATAGTTATTATTTTATTATGTCATTCTGTTCTTCATTTCGTGTTCTGTCATTTTAATGTTTCGTGTCATGATTATATTTTGTATTGTGTTTCATTCTTTTTTAAATGTGATTCGATTTATGTATTTACATTTATACTTTGTTCGTAACCCTATTCACAGAACTTGCATCGATCATCATACTGATACATCGTGTCTCTGGCATCTCTCACTATGATCAGAAAGGTCCGTCACATTTCATTTAATCCAACCGGTACAAATTATTTTCATATCAATCAATTTTCCTATAATCAATGTTAATTGACACATTTTCCCAGCCTATATCTATTTATTCACATTTTTAACTCAGGTTAAATCTACGCTCAACGTCCCAAGTGTTGAGTCATTTGATAGATTATGTCAACTTTCCTATTCCATTCAGCACAAATTTCCTTTTTTATCTATCACAATTCATTCATACGTAAACATTTCAATTTGAACAAAGAACAAATCCATCAAATGAGACGGTGAGGGACCTGTACGAAATGATTCAGATGTGTAATGCAATGTACATGTATGTATTTTCAGAAGCAAAAGTTGTTGGATCGTGTGCAAAGTTTCAGGGTGATAAATTCTTAGACTCGATATTCAGTACACGCAACTGAAAACCACTTCCGCAATACTGAATACGATTACTCATCACTCATAAACACTGACCTTGAGCTATGACCGCACTGACAAGCTTTCCCCCGGTGACCATTACCTTTATTAGTTAAGGGAAAAGATCGAGACTATATATATGTGTTAATCCGTACCATTTTACTGACACCACGGCATCAACCAGTTTACGGTTTCCACCTTATTCATGGTTCAGGATTGTTGATGAAGGGCGATATTCAAGAAAGATGGCTACACACTGTTCCAAAAGAATATCACGTCAGAAAACCTCGGTTGAACTTAACTTTTAGGACTATCAATGAGAAAAATTAACGTTTGCCAAGTCGCTCAATGTTGTGTTTTAATTAGTACCTGTGATAATAATAGTTACTGTGAACCAAACATATTATAGCCTTGAGTTTGAATTCCTATTAGGACCCTTTTTTCGAAGAAGGAAATTTAATTACTTGCGAATATTACGCTGCGTTTAGTACGAGCAACATTTTAATTGGCTGTATCTTCGGTTGTGTAGGATATTTTTTTGACGCGATTCAAACTTACTAACAAACAATACTATTAGTATTAGCTTCCTCCCTGTGACCACGGGTTTTCTAGTATAGTTATAAATTAGTCGTTGTATTTATAATTTGAATCTGTTATTATAGAATAATATTTGGACATATCTTTTAGGATATCTTAGTTATTAACCGTCATACCAGCTAGCAGATATAATTAACATAATTAACATAATTAACATAATTAACATAATTAACATAATTAACATAATTAACATAATTAACATAATTAACATAATTAACATAATTAACATAATTAACATAATTAACATAATTAACATAATTAACATAATTAACATAATTAACATAATTAACATAATTAACATAATTAACATAATTAACATAATTAACATAATTAACATAATTAACATAATTAACATAATTAACATAATTAACATAATTAACATAATTAACATAATTAACATAATTAACATAATTAACATAATTAACATAATTAACATAATTAACATAATTAACATAATTAACATAATTAACATAATTAACATAATTAACATAATTAACATAATTAACATAATTAACATAATCAACGAATAGGTCACTACTCACATAACATGATAACGGCGACAATAATATCCTCAATATGCGAGTCCGGTTTATTGATGGATCTCAGCTCTGTCAAGCTGATAGAGGTCAGCTGACCCAGAGTATCTTTTATTGTCAGCTTTATGTTCTTCGAGTCAGATTCGAATCTCTTCCGCTGAATCTCCAGTTGAGGAAGAGCCTGTAAGAATAATAATCTTGATCTTCAGCGTTAGAGGAAGATTATGGTCAGAAGTTTCTATTAAAAATAGCAAACCCTGTATTAAATAACTATTTAAGCTTTTTGAGCCCTTATGATCGAAGGGTAAAAACGTTGAAATTCTACAATATATTGTCTTTTTATTCCTAGACTAGATAAACTGGAAACCTGGCTAGGTTACCTGTTGGATTTGGGGAACTTTATCCTGCTGCTGTTTCAGCATTAGTTTGTGTGCCTCTATGATAGCAGTATCTAGACCCAGCTGTACAAGAATGTTGTTTACTCCAGCGTCCTTCTCTATCAGAACTGTGGCTTCTCGTGCCAGCCTGGCCTCTAGCACTTCTGAAACAGTTGAAATTAGGCTTCTTAATTGGGTTAATTTATGCTAGAGTTATAAAGCCTAACGGAGTTGAGAAGTTAAACTTTAGCACCTCTACTCTTGCACTCAGGTCCGATCAAATTGACGTGATGAAGTTTTTGTATCATTTGAGTGGGATAAAACATTCAAAAAGTTGCTCGAGATCGATGTTAATTTTAATCTTTGTATCCTGATTTTCTATTAGAATTCTGAAGCAAATATTTTACTATTTATTTCGAACAAGATGGTTAATCCAGATCTCGAACCTGAAATTAGACACGAAACTGGTTCTTTAATCAAACCAGTAAAACTGTGGACAAGAATGGATAAGCTTTTGTTAATATTTGGTGTCGTCATTAACCTTGGAGATGGAATGGAAATCTATTTGCCTGGTTCGTCCAATTAAAGAATTCCCAGATCACTTGGTGCTTTCTAGAAAAAAGTCAAATTTCTTTCATTAAAAAACTTTTAAAACTTGAACCCAACAACATATCATCAGAAACTAGAAATCACCATTTTTAATCCAGGAGTGATAACACAACAAGTTTCGTGCGAAATTGAACTTTCTCCATGGAAGGAAGCAATACTGGACTGCATACAGTACTCCACTTTAGCAGTTGCTGTCGCCTTCTCAGGAATATTGGCTCACAGGTTTGCTATCTTAAGAAATTAATTTATCGATCTAGCTGACATACAAACCGTAAAAACATTAATATTTATTTTCGGAGAGTTAAAGCTTACTGGGCGGCGCTCAGCCTGTCATTCCGCCGAATCTTTATTAAGTTTATGAACATAACAGCTTGGAGTCCCCAGATAAGTTAAAGCTTACTTCAGTGCTTCGTTTTCCAACACAAATTTAATCTTTTGCAGGTTTGGGTGTAGAGTTGTGACTCTGTTTTCCCTCTATTTGAGCGCTATCAGCACAGTTGCCTGTGCTATAGTAGCTAACTACACCACACTTTTCATTTCTAGAGCCCTTATCGGGTTTTCTCTTGGACTCAATTTTTCCGTCCATAGCGTCTTGATTGCTGAGCTGATTTCTAGTAAGAAAGTTCTTGACGAGATGGTGATGGCATTGTTCGTAACGTACAGTGTCGGAGGAATGTGGTCGGCGATTCTGGGATACCTGCTGTTAGATGTGGTAGGATGGAGGATTTTCATTCTTCTGACATCATTACCTTTCTTCATACCAGCCATTTTCATGCTCCACTTTAGTTCCGCGTTGACATCAGGACAGAAAACGGGACAAACTGTGAATGAGCAAAACCAAAAGGAGGAGAAGGAAACGGTGTCTGCGACTGTTCCAAATTTTGTTGCCAGAACTACAAAACTAGGGTTGTTCGGCTTTGTGGTCTTCTTCCAGGGCTGGCTTACTATTCTTCTCGTACCCACTTTAATCCAGGCCTTCAAGATCAAGGAAGCCGAACCAAACAGTGACTGCTCAGTGACTGTGACTCAAGGAAAGGAACTCCTGCTACTGGCCCTCGTCACATTTGCAGCTATCCTCGGACGGTTATTCATGCACTTCACGAGGAAGAAATTCAATTTTCGCAAATTTCAAGTGATAGTTGCCATACTGAACGTGGCGAGTTTTGGAGGCATGCTTGCACAGGATCATCTTGCAGTAGTTGTAACAACCAACTTCATCGTCAAGTTCTTGTATGGGGTCACTGGTATGGCCAATGGTTACATTCTCTACGACATAGATTACTTCGGAGCGGAGAGGTTTGCTCTTGGCTCCAGTGTTTCGCTTGCTATGAACTTGGTTGGAGGTGCCGTTGGAACGTCTATGGTGGCTTTTGCACCGCTACCTTCTGTTATCATCACTGCGTTAGTGCTCAGTGCTCTGCAGATTCTGGTGGTTCTCTCAATGACAGAAGTCAACTTCAAAACAGGGCTATGCAATTAATTTTTCAATTATAAACTCAGATGCAGTCACTTAAACCTTTAAAGACGATTAGTATGAAGTTTATAATATTTTTCGTTGACAAAAGGTAAATATTGTAACCATTTCGGAGTTGTTAGGTTTGCAGGTACATTTGTAAAAGGTGTGTATTGTGTAATATCTTTCTTGAAGTTTTCCACACGGAGTTTCTTTCAATGTTTCAACTAAATCAGCACCGATTATTATTATTAAGTATTAACGTTTAAAATGTTAAAATAATGATTTATTTATTTTAAGTCATTTGTTTGTGATAATTTGCCGATGAAAAACAAAAAACATAGTTGGTGCGATTAAAAAACTAATCGCACTGATCTTCTGAAAGTCTGAATATCGTGTTCCGCAATTTGCTGCGTGTGAGTCACAAGATCGAATAAACTTGACAGATACAGGCACGTGCCAACGTATTCACTACTCTGAGAGTTGAGGTATCTGGTAAATTGTGGAAACTCCTAAAATGCATCTATGGCTTGGTCGATGGCCCAAGAATGTGGTATGTCGAACTGAGAGATACCCTAGGCCTAGTAGAGCTTGGTGTAGCAGTGTCAGTGTACGATGAATCCTCTTTCTTTTTAAATTTAACGAGAAATGATAAGCCGTGTGGGATCATAGGGATCCATGTTGATGATCTCATATTTGGAGGACTGGAAAAATTCATCAGAGAGGTCATTGATGCCTTAAAAATTAAATTCAAGCTCAGTATGGAAGTCGATACATCCTTTATGTACACTTGTCTCGATCTCAGTCAAAGTTACAGAATACAGCTACATGGCAATCAAAATAATAGAATTATATCAAACAATTCATTCACATTCACCTATGAGGCTTAGTGTGATTAGCCATATTATCATGAGGTGTATCCTGTACAGTGTACACCGTACATCATATATTGTTATTATTTATCTTAATTCTATTTCTTGCTATTGCAAAGATTTTAATTATTCGATGTTTAATTGTATAGATGCTGTTCACAATAACAGTCGTGATCGATCAATAACTTAAATAATTTAACCATATCTTACTATATATAAAGCGAGACGATAGTTTTCCGTGCCATTTTACTGACACCACGGCATCAACTTTAACGCGACTTTACGCAAAAACCGTAAAAGATATACAACTGAAACTTTTTGACTGGTTTAAATGATTTAATGGCCTTCGAAGCAGCATGAAAAATTAAAAAATTGGCCAAGGAATAGTGATTTTAGAGCCCAAAATTTGGACCCCCAAGTGGTGTCAAAAACGCGAATTAAATAGGTAATAATCATTTTAGTCTCTTGAGTCTTGACACCGTTCAGGGTTATATTATACGGGTTCCTGCTAGTACCATAATAATATCGTGATATTTTCTATTTTCGAAAATATGTTTTCCGATTACAAAAAAAAATTTGACGCTGTGAAAATACTAATAGACGGAGAAAATAATTCTTTATATTCGTAGAATATCGTGCCCGACGTCAAGTTCACTAGTTGCGTTAACGTGACCAATTTGCTTTTGATAAAGGTTAATCACTTTAACATTTTTAAGGCCCTGAATCTGATGAATAACGATGGACTAGTCTTAGTGAGCCGAGCTTTGAAACATGTGTAGGCGTGAAACGGCGTCAGATAAATTTAAAAATGGGAAACATACGAGTAATAGTATTTAACTTGCTCGAGCACTTTTTAAAATTAAAAGGTTAAAATCGGGGTATCGCGCAAAGGCAAAGCTGACCAAATAATGGACTAAACATGTAATTCAGCAGTCATGGCTGTAACTACAATAGTGCTCCTGACTTTATTTGTGGCCCTGTTTGCTCTTGTATCACGTTGCGACCCCCACGGTCGTTTCACTATGTGGGTGTCAAGTAATTTGCGAGCCGCACGAAAAATCTCAGGTGCAACTGTACGAGAAGAACTCGCGTGCGCGAAGAGATAATCTCAGTGTTAAATAGTTACTGCGTGCACTGTAAAGTCACATTTAGAAAGTTCCAGACCATCTGATGTTGTGTGTTAACTTTTTTGATGATGTGATCGCTATGTTGACAAAAAGCTTATCTATGGGTAGGTGATAATCAATAATTATTTTGTTTCTCGGATTTATAAATTTTTGGTATCATGGTATAGTTCTAACGATGATGAGATCAGAACACACGGCCATAATTCTGGGAAAACTTGCATTGTTGGAATATCGTGATTTTAAAACGGCCTTGAATCAAAAAAAGTGTTACGAAAAAACGGCGTTATTTTGCTGAAATTTGGGCTCAGCGTCGGACTGTTTTCAAAAGCTCATGATAAATTGTAATAAAATGATGCAATCATGAAAATTTCTGGAATCTATGTACAAATAACTTTTCCAAACGATAGCATAAAGTATGATAAGTTTACAAATATCCGTGTATTTGATAAACGCAATAATATAAGTCAAGTCAGAAACACGCCTACTCGCAAACATTTTGAACTATAACTCGAGCTACAAACGTCGCAAAACAACTGCAGTTTCGGTGAAATGGCGCCAGAGAGTCTGTGGAACGCGCAGTAGAGCTCTCGCACGTGAGAAATGTTCGAGTCAGTCTACCTTGTTTGGCGCGCTATTTCGTTTCCGTTACAAATGTTGACCTTGTACGCCATTTTGTCGCCATTTTGTCAATTTATACGTAATTTCGTAAATTTCGTTAATACCACGTTTAGCCAAATTCCACAGAGAGCTTATAATTTACTTCCAACACGAAATAAACATTGCTAAGGCCATGAAGTTACCTAATGGCTACTTTTAACGGAAAATCAAGTCATTCTGTGACATGTAGCGTCCTTTTGTCACTTAAATGGATGACGTTGACTCTAGAACATCGTGAAACTTTCCATCAGTAAAGCTAAAAGTATTTCCATTCTAAAAAACTTTACTTCAAGATAATTGCACGAAAGATGAATAAGTGTCTAAAGATCCATTTGATTGAACTTGTCTTCAACTTTTAAGCTGTATTACGTCTCGAAATAAGCGATCGACCGCGCAGGATTACCACCTACTATGGGCTCTGACTTTTTAAATTTTTGACTTGCAGCACTTTCTTAATCAATTATTCTTGCTTGCTTACATGGGGACCCTGGGCTTTACTGTATAAATACTTAAGTCTTGGTATTGAGATTATTAAATCAGTAAAAGCCATAATTTTAGTCACAATATTTACAGAATGGAGCTTCCAAACTAACCACATAATTCAAAATTGTATTATTGGTATCCTAAGAATAATACATAATATTTAACAGAACTAAAATTCATCTGTATAATAAACTAACAATATTACATACGTTAGTGCTTCAAAGAACTATGTTTTTGAAGAAGTTTCAAAGTTGATATTTGGTTCAATATCGGGTAAAACTATTAAAGGGCATGATAACAGGAAAATAGACTGATATCATACTGTTTCCGGTCCAGTAGCCAAATCTCTAGACGGGTACTCTGTTACTTGACGTTTGTGATAACATAAAAAGGTGGTATATGGTAGATATTTATATAGCATACTCTACAATCTAGATCTTTAAAACGAAGTAAGAGTTGTCACGCCTATATTAGTCGTTTATCTCTCCGTTAAATCTACAATTCTAACATCATTGGGTAGCATGAGACAAGCGAAAAAAAGACATACGAAGAGATTTCAAGCTCATAAAGGATCTTGTTGGAGACCAGAGATTTTAAACTAAAGTTTGATAGTCGAAGTTCGCCTGTAGAATTTGAGTCCAGGTAGAGCACTTTCGTTAGACAAAGTCCAACCTTAGGGTTTGTCGAACTACAGTTGTACGTGTCGAACTTGAGTATGTGTACCGAATTTACCGTGGTAAAATTATCTTCACACCGTGAAATGTGCAAAAAACTACAAAAGGTTCGCCTTAAGATCGTGTATCAATAATTTAAGGAGGCTTTGCCGAGACAACCTATACGCCCGTTTAATTTTTACAGGGCAGCCCAGAAGTAATTGGTTCTGAAACAATTCAAGATTTAAATCTAATCCCTTTAAAGTAGGCGGCTCAGTTACTTACACATTATTACCAAAACAATTAAAATATACCCAACTACCATCTATAGCCTATTTTCTAATAATAGAACAATCTTCAGCTAACATGGCAATTAGAACGGTTTGGGTTCTGCTGGAAGTTGAGGTTCTGCTGTAGGTTGAGGTTCTGCTGTAGGTTCGGATGGGGATACTTTTATGAAGTAAGGTCCAGGAAACGAGCTGCGGAGCAATATCTGTTCATCCAGCACGGCCTTTTTCTGTTAAGGTTTATAAAATTGGTCCTCTGACTGTCTTTATTGGCTCTATCTTTGGATTTCTTCAGTCTCCTGAAATATACTAAGCCACATTAGATGATACGTAAAGATTTGTTTAAGCATACCTTAAAGGATTTCTTTCATATTTATAGCTTAATAAAAATCCAACATTAAGATGTATTTGAAAAGTAACTTAAAAGGACATGCAGAGCGACCAATATCGACTGAATCAATGCTTGGTAGCACAAACCGGAGGTTAGAAATGAATACTTGACCACATGGTTGTTGCATGGGTCACTTGCAACATATATCACATACCTTGGTTTTACATTTCCTTTTCAATAACTAAATCGGAGCGACCTCCAATCTCTATAGATTTTCAAACGCATGGTCCAACCATATCGACGAGAATTTTCAAATGATTTCGGCATTTAAATTCCGGCCGCGGTTGCTGAGTTTCTGAAAGATAAATCATTATAAAACATTATTGGGATTTAATATCTTCTGAAATATTCGAATTTTCGAATGTTGACGACGGACTTCTCGAATGAATAGTTACATAATGCCATCTGCAAAATTACAGGTCTCAAAATATTGAACACGTAAGTAACGGCGTTACGGCACTTTTGGCCCCCTCTATTAGTATTATTCCTAGTATATCTATAATATTAGAGCTATTCTGGTGTATCTGAACAGTGAACAACGTTAGAGCTACTAAAGTCTGGTGTATCGTAACAATATAAATACTAGTGAAGTATGGTGTATCTTAACAATATAAGAACTAGTGACGTCTACGTCTGGTGTAACTCAACAATAGTGTATCTGAATAGTGAACAACGTTAGAGCTATTAAAGTCTGGTGTATCGTACATAGAAAAGCACCAGCTATCGAGCATCTGCGTGACCAATCTAAGGTGCAGGAGTATTGCATCGCACTGCATAACCGATTCAGTGGTCTGCCGGTGGAAGAGAGTCTGGATGGAGAGTGGGAGTTGGTCAAGGAGGGCATCAGGGAGGTTTCTTTGGAGGTTTTTTGGTCAACGCCCGCGCCGGAGGAAGAAGCAGCACTTGTCACAAGAGACAAAGGATCTTATCTCGGAGCGGAGTAAGGTAAAGCAGAAATGCCCAAGTGATGGATTCAATAGATCTGAGTATTCTCTTGCTAATAAGCGTGTTGAGAAGAGCTGCAAGAAGGATGATGAGAACTGGGCTTTACGGGTTGCAGCCGATCTGGAAACAGCTTCTTCACACGGTCAGCAGAGGGAGGTCTGGCAGATGATCAAGTCCTTGTCAGGCAAGAAGAGTCGGAAGTCAACTGCTGTCAGAGATAAAACCGAGAAGTTGATTTCTGACCCAGCTGCTCAACGAAAACGATGGGGTGAGCACTTTGCTGAACTACTAAAGCCGCAGATAGGAGACGTGGACCTTTCAGACCTAGACAGTCTAGAGGTCGCACCATGTTTTCCGTATCTGAGTGATAGTGATTTACCCCCTAGCAGAACAGAGATCTCTAGGGCTTTAAAGAGTCTGAAGAATCACAAGAGCCCTGGAATTGATGAAATTTCCAACGAACAGCTGAAGTATGGGGCTCCTGGTCTTTTAGACAGGCTTGAGAAACTGTTTGCACGTGTTTGGGAGACGGAGAATGTGCCAGAGGATTGGGTTAAGGGTATCATTGTTATTGTCCCGAAAAAGGGTGATACATCATTCTGCTCGAACTACAGGGGCATAACCCTACGCTCCACGGCATCAAAACTCTATCAGATAATAGTGTTGCGACGGATGAATGCGGGGCTTGAAGAACTGCTCCGAGAGAATCAGTGCGGGTTCAGGAAAAACAGGTCTTGCATTGATCAGATTTATTCACTCCGTACTATTATTCACAACAGCATTGAGTTTAACCTCTCCCTGTACATAAATTTTGTTGACTTTAAAGCTGCATTCGATTCACTTAATCGGGAGTTTATCTGGAAAGCTTTCAGTCATTATGGCTTGCCTTGTAAATACATTCGCATAATGCAAGCATTCTTTTGCGGCACCGTCAGCGCTGTCAGACATAACGGTGAGCTCTCAGATTGGTTTGACGTTACATCTGGCTCTGGGCAGGGGGATATTCAGGGTCCGCCTATCTTTAATGTTTGCATCAACCTGCCTGCGCAGCGGGCTGAGGATAACAAAGTGTTGTCACACGGGGCAGTACTGCAGAGAGCTACCACCAGCTTTGATCAGGATACAGTCGTCTTGGATACTGACTATGCAGATGATTTGGCTATCATGGACAACAACAAGGACGGTCTCCAGGAGACGACTGATCTTTTATGCAAGTATGCGGCTCAGGCTGGCCTCAGAATCAATGCGAAGAAAACAGAGGTTATGGCCATCGGAAAGAATACATCACAGAGGCCGTATATTGAAGCATCAACGGTGGACATTACAGTAGGAGACACGGCTATCCAGCAAGTAAGCAACTTCACTTACCTTGGGTCGATTATATCAAGTGATGGGACTATTGACCGGGACTTGTCTGCACGGATCCAGAAAGCCTCAGGAGCATTCAATGAGCTCGGTAATATTTGGAAGAATCGCAATATCCAAAATAACACCAAAATACGGATATATGTTGCAGCGGTTCTAACAATATTACTTTATGGATCGAAGTCTGGAACACTACTTCAAAGCAACTACATCGCTTCAAAGTTTTCCATCAAAACTGTTTGAGGAGAATCCTTCGAATTAAGTGGTTCCACCAGACGAGCAATGTTCAAGTGTTGTAGCGGGCAAGAATAAACCCGGTTATAACCTACATCAGTGCCAACCGTCTTTGCTGGTTTGGACATGTTTCTAGAATGCCGGACACCAGGCTATCAAAGTATCTACTTGACTGGACACCTGCTCACGGCCGAAGATCACGTGGGCGGCCAAGAAAGAATTGGCGAACCTTTACAAGAGATTCAGACATTGTATTTGATAAGGTCCGAGAGTTGGCAGGAAATCGCAAGCACTGGAGAGAGATGATACGACATAAGCGGCAATTCCTTGGTGCAGGCCACTCGAATGATTGAGGAGACCTTATCAAGTAAGTAAGTAAGTAAGTAAGTATCGTAACAATATAAATACTAATAAAGTCTGGTGTATCTGAACAATATTAGAGCTAGTAAAATGTTGTGTATCTGGTGTATATTATAGCATAGCCATTCTTTATTATGTAGTTTATATATTTAGCGTAAAAAACATTGTTTGGGATTTTAATGGCTGTAATGATATCCCAGATATGACTATGTGGGATGACTTGCATGCTATTGTGTCTTATTGTGATAGTGTGATCGAAAACAGCTCGATATTATTTACATCACCCACCAAATGCGATATGACTCATATCGCATGGGTGATGTAATTATTATGAGCTATGATAAATCACATTTCTTGCACAACTCGGTCTGATTGTTCATTGTTGAGGAAAAGAAGATGTAGATGGTAATCCAGGTAAGCCGGTTCAGATTAACACAATTGACGGTACAGAGAGGTTTTTAAAAATACATATTATGCGATTATCTTAACTCCACTGATTCATCATTGAAATCAATAAAATGATAATTACAACACTACTATTACATTTATTGAGGATACATAACATGAAGACTTTGTTGTAACCTTGTATGAAAAGCATTAAAGCATTAATAGCACAGCAGGCTATCGGTTCGATCTTAAATGTGCCTTTGGTGCAGTTTCTGTGAGAATCGATAAGGATGTACTGTAATTAATTATGAAACTCTAATAGTAATATCCTGTGGTTAACATTTTTCAGTTTCAGCCCTTTTGACTTAGTAATTGATTACTAAAAACTACTTTTCTCCGTGTTTTAAGCTATTCCACTCATTTTGAGTCAAAAAGTTTTTAGATTTTTTGCTAATTAGCTAATTGATAATTATCCAATTAACTGATTATCAGACGTAAAATTGTCTTCCTGATAATATGAACACTCTCGATTAATCTGCAACCTTTTAACATGTTCACAACTAAAGATATTCGACAAGCAAGAAAAGTGGTAAAGTGGCAAAAAGTGGCCTAGAGACAAGTGGAAAAGTTTGGAAAAGTTGGTCAGCCATAAAGGGCACCTGATGGAACTCAAACACGTCAAAAATCTTTTGTAAGCTTTGTGTGTCGGCAGATCGAATTTTTAAGACGGATCTGTCTGTATCAGTACAACTCGACAATTCACGCAACGTATTATACACTGAGAAAAATCTCGAAATTCCTAAAATGCGCACTCAAATTTTATACCAAATGCTGAAGGAAGTGTGATTTATATATGAAACTTTGCCACATTTTGGTCTATAATTCGGTGTGTCTCTAATATGATATTTGCCAAATAATTGTGACGTGTTCAGAGCCGCGCACACGTGCGAGTTAAGCGAGTATCTATCAATCAATGGAATGTACAAATGTGTGTCATGGTGTGTGCGAAGCAAATTTCAGTGTAGCCGATGTAATCTATCAAAACAAATGCTATGATTCCGTTTTATTACAGGATCTGGCATCTGCCGTAAATATTACTGATTTTATCAGTGACACACACTATAACTGTGCAATGTTACCTGTTTCTCTGATAAACTGCTCGGACAAGTATGGGAATGTTGGATTATGGTATGGTTGTCATAGTGCTGGTGTGGCGTCCGCAATATTATCAGTCGCCTTTGAAAATCTACTACAGATTTTCTTACTGTATATCACCATACAGTTCCTCTTTAAAAAAGGTGCATGTGACAAGTAACGAGACAAGGATGCTCTAGGATCAGGAGCGACAAATGATCAATTGTTTTAGACGTGAGGCTTTCTGCAGTAACGGCCCTAGCGAACAGGGGGATGGTTGTTCGCTTGAGTACTATGATGCGGTTATACAAGTCTGGCAAAACAATTTGTGACCTGCCTATTGGCCGGGCGGCGGGCGCCGCCGTAGACTCAACACATGGTGTGTGGGGTATTTATCTCGGGCACACACCTTAATCTCTCGACCGGCGGGTCACACCCAAATCTCCTGCTCCAACTCTTTCAAAGGCTGGTACCCTACTACTACGTGGCCAGAAGGAAATTCTTGTAGGAACTCTTAATGTACGAACAATAAGAGAACAATACAAGAGGGATGAGCTGGGTGTATGCATGAGGGATAGTGGCGTACATATTTTGGGCATTCAGGAGCATCGGGTAGTACATAGCACTGAAATCGAGTATCAAGATCTGGGCAGCTCTCACCTCATAACAACTTCGGCATGGAGAACCAGCAATGGGGCGGCTGCTGGTGGGGTTGGTATTGCCTTGGACAAAAAGACAGTATTCAACTCATCGATTATACTCACATGACAGAAGGACGATGGTAGCCAACTTTGCAGGGAACCCGGTCACAACTGTTATTGTGACTTATAGCCCGACAGAGGGGGCGACTGTCGACGAAGCAGAAAACTACTACGACAGCCTTGGTGGTGCCATCGACCAGATACCAGCCCACAACTTACTATTCGTTGTAGGAGACCTCAATGCGCATGTCTCATCATCAGGAAACTGGACATCCTTCCACAAGGGTCCAGCAAACCGAAATGGTAGACTGCTAGAGGATATGCTGTTGGAGCGACAGCTAGAAATCACAAACACCAGATTTCAGAAGCGAAGAGGTAAACTCTGGACATATCTCTCAGATATGAGTCAAAGTAAATCTCAAATCGACTTCATCATTTGCCGGAAGAAATGGCGGAACTCCGTCAAGAACTCCGAAGCATATGGTAGTTTCCACAGTATTGGATCGGATCACAGATCGTGAACTTGATCGTGAACTTGATTCTGACAGCAGCTGACCAACAAACTATGACAAATCTGATATAAAGCTGATAAACTCAAGCAGGACTGGTACTGTCTTATTGGAAAGTCTTTGTGGCCGTGTAAACTGACTTGTTCTGATATTTGGACCTATGTGGGTATGGTGGTATCATTTCGAACCCGTTATATGATGTATAATAGGACCTCATAATAAAATTAAACCCTACAATTTTATTTCCTTATTGCTAATTGCTTTGGTTGTACATTCCGCAGCTCTCTTATCTCTATTGATAAAACGGTATTACTCTGTGCTAACCTTGTGTACAACGTGTGTAACTGTACAAGAAGTGTACAATGTCAGGCGATAACTCTAATGAACTGGCTATTGGGAACCTGCTTCTCCGTACAGGAAGTAACGAAATTGTGAAACGTGTCATTTCAGTTTTTGACCACTCTGCAAAGAGTTTAGCAAATGTCAAGTCAATATCTGCTTTTAATCTTGATATGTTGTGTGAGGGCCGCCTTTTATGCCTTGGGCTATCGGTTAGAGAAATACTATGATGGTCATTCACATTGATTGGGATATCTAGTTTGCTTAAAAGCATTATCTAAGAGCTAATTAGAAGTTGATTATAAAATAAAGAAAGGGTACATAACCTGATGTGAAGTTGAGTCGATGAGAAGGGAGAGGTCAGGATTGGATCATGATGAATCAGCACCAAGACGGTTAAAAGGTTCCAGCTAGGGATTGGCTGAGTTACCAAAACTGGAACGAGGAAGCGTTACAATAATCTTAAATTAAGTTGCACTATAATTATTATAAATATTAGTAATGAAATATTTATAATAAGTAAGTGAAAATGTTCATTAACTCCATGACTTTTTAATAAAGTTATCATCCTAGAATGTCATGACCATAATCAATCACGAGTTACAATGTATAACTTAGCTTCGTTGAGTGTTCAATCTTCAAATTGTCAACCGCTATAATAGAGTCCTCATGTTATAGGAGGGTACCGCTCTAGAGTCCTCATGTTATGGGATCTATAAGGGAGGGCCGCTCTACAGTCCTACTTCCGACCTTCACCGGCCTACAGTCCACCGCTCAACAGTCCACCGCTCAATAGTCCTACATGACAGCCGTTCTACGGCCATGGTGAGGTGAATAATCTCCTCCAAACTAAAATTGTCCGGGGGGCTACCGAATCAAAAATCTCTTATCCCGTGGAGCTCAGGAATCCATTGATCCCAGACTTCCGAAGCCTTATAATTGTGTTGAAATCTTTTAGTGGATTTGTGCTCGGAAATGGCAACAGGGGCTCGCCCTGTTGTCCAGGAAATTTCTTTATAAAATCTTTTTAATCAAAATTTCTAAGAGGGCTGTTAGCGTATCTGATTGGTTAGGATAAATTAGTATCGGGCTCGAGTCGGCTTCCCTAATACTGCTGGTAATTGGGGCTTGCACTGGGGATGATTTAAGAAGCTTCATGGCACTCCGCTGGACTGGTGCAATATGTAATATCATAGCGTACCGTGCGGGGTTGCCAAAACATTAATTACCAGAGTGGGAGCTGGATGAGAGTGGGGCTTAAATGTAACTTTAGGTTCCATCTGGATTATTGTGGCTTAATACTATTAAGTGCCGTGATTTAATATAGATTTTAACTTGGCATAGCCGGGCCTGGGATACTTACATGTTGGAACCGTGTGCATAGTTTTTGAACATTGATTGAGCTGACTCAGACGGGAACAAACTGTATACAAAGGACAGTCTTATCAACAGAATTTAATTTGAGCCCCGTGCGTTACTGCCATCAGAATGCTTGGAATGTAACGAAACGTACATTGTTGAGTTTGAAGCCGATCAGAAACCTGTTTTCACTGTCATATGTGTTTTCGGGGATCACACAACTGTTCTGCTGTTACGAGTTTCCACGATGTTTTGACTAGTGCTACTGTTCTTTCTAGTTATGTTTGGTTGTGTAAACCATGCAAGGAATCAAGTAATCCTATAAAACCACGGAAATCGAAGGGCCGGCATGATAGTACTGTGAACGAATCAGATCCCGAATCTCAGCAACCCAAGGAGGACTTGGTTGCGTCACAGATGTCCTCATCCGAGGAAATCACGGACCACTCCACTTTTCAATCCTGGACCCCACACGTCAACAGGATAGCTGAACGTGCAGGAAATGTTGCTTCTTGGGTGCTAAGTGCGTTCAAAACGAGAGAGAAAGCCACCATGATGACTTTATACAAGTCTCTCGTTAGAAGTCATTTAGAGTATTGCTGTCCTCTGTAGAATTGCTCTAAGAACAAGGAAATCCAACAGCTAGAAGGGATTCATATGGCACCCAGCACCTCAACTACTGGCAGAGATTAAAGGCCCTAGATATTCTGATGTCATTGCAAAGAAGAGGAGAACGGTATTTAATCATCAACATGTGGAAAGTTCTGCATTGCAAGTGCCTTAATGATATTGGTATCCAGTTCTCGGTCACTCTCAGACATGGTCAAAAAGCAGTTGTGCCCAGTATAGCTAAGTCCAGCAGTCAACTTAATCAAGCACTACATGACAACTTTGCAGTCACTGGACCTCGATTATGGAATGTAATCCCAACACATATGCACACCATCGAGGATCCTATGGAATTCAAAGCAACTTTAACGAACTTTTGCCAACTTTGTCAAATCATTTCCGGACGAGCCTCCAGCTCCAGGATAGTATCATCGAAAAAGTCGACCTCCCGGACAGTATAGAAACTGTTTTATCACCACTCCAATCCAGCAAGTATCCTGGATACTTGCTGGATTGGAGTGGTGATAAAACAGTTTCTATACTGTCCGGGAGGTCGACTTTTTCGATGGCCCGATAGAGGATTCTATGAAGCCTAACAAAGTAACAAAGTAACAAAGTAAGTACAAATTCGATATATTTAAAATTAATTCTCACCTCTTATTCAAAGATCAACAGATGTATCGATCAATATCGGCATATCCCAAGATATGATTTTTTTCTCTGTTCGTCAACTGCAAAGTGGGCGTAATGTGTTAAGGGTTACAAGACTTTTTATCATAACTAATTATTGTAATCATGGTATTCACCAGGCAAACCATGTACAGTAACACCACGATTTACTGCACAGTTTGCTGTTTGAGGGAAAGACAACTTGTGCGAATAATCGTCGTGTATGATAAATCAGGGTTTTGATGTGGTTCACAAGCACTCAGCTCAAGTTGGGGGTAATTAGGGAAGCAGTGAGATATTACGAGAATATTAGAATAAGTCTACAACTCACCTTCGGGTTTCATGCTTTGAACATGTACAAATAGGTTCCAAGAGAGGTATTATACGTGTCGACCGTTGTTATATATGGTAATTTATTATGTATTATTATGTAACTTATTTACTAATGTATATATTCCTTAGTCTCCTATGACCATAGTTGGTACAAGAATCAGTGGGTTTCATTTGTCAGATACAGTATATAAAAATGGCGACGAGCTATAAACGGACTTACAACGGCGGATCAGATTTTGATGAGTTTAGTGAACAATTCGAGTTATGGGTGAGCCTCAGAGAAGACTATATCGAGGAGTTACCGGTAAGAGAGAATTTTGCAAATGACGAATCGTTCAATACTCAAACAGGGTTGTATAATGCATGTGAACTGAAGAAACGCAAACAGTTTTTGACAGCGTTGGAGCCATCAGTCTATGCCGATATGAAAAACGTTGTGTATCCACGTCAGTTAGTGCAAATTCCCTACACAGAACTGAAACAGTTAGTGAGAGATCATTTCTGTCCAAAGCCAACAGTGCCAACCGAACGTTTTACATTCAGTCGTATGAAGCAAGGAAACAATGAATCAGTGCAAGCTTATGTTTCAAGATTAAAATCTTGTGCGCAACGGAGTAACTTCACTGGTAATGTGTTCAACACAAGATGTCTTGAACAGTTTATTTCTGGATTGTTTTGCGATGATTTTCGGGACATGTTGTTAGCTGAGGACTGGGAAACGCTCACTTTTATTACTGCTGTAGAGAAAATTGTTACTAAAGAGCGTTCAAAGAGGGAGACTCAGATTGTTGGTAAGGATGCGGTGACGCCGTCTACGTCCGGTGCAGCTGGTGTGAATCGTGTTAACAAGTGGAGGAAACCAGCAGGGGACTATTCTGGCAAGCAGCAAGGTAAAGGTAAGAAGCCTGGTAAACCTAAGTCAAATATAATTTGCAACAAGTGCAAATTGCCGGGACACATATTTAAAGATTGCAAAACGAGATGTTTTAAATGCAAAAGCATGGGACACATTAAGAAGAATTGTGTAAATCATGTGCAACAAGTTGATCATGTAGATACTGATTTTGATAACGATAGTAATATTGCAAATTGGGAACCTAATTCAATTCATATAGTTGATTCTATTAACCGAGTTGATTCTAATCCGAAACCTAGAGTTTCTGTTAAGTTAGATTTAGGTGATGTTCGTAAGTCTGTCAATGTATCTATGGAGTTTGACACAGGTTCCAGTGTTGCTTTGTGTTCGGAACGTTGGTTTGTACAGTCAGGTTTGTCTTGTGTGTTGTCTCCGCATCATCAGCTTCTTAAAGTAGCTAACGGTCAGTCCGAGGAAGCTAAGGGAAAGGCTACTGTTAATGTGACATTCAAAGGAAAGAGAATCCCTGGTTTAGACTTAGTGATTGTCAAAGGGAACTTTCCGGCTTTGTTTGGATGGAACTGGATAACAGCATTCCTGGGTAAGAGTTGGTTGAAAGAGATACTGGAAAGATTCAACGCTGAGGGTAAGAGTAGTTTGTGTCAGTATGTTGTGCGAGAGGTTGAGTCAGTTGGTCTAGACCGTGAGTCCGTGTTGCAGGATCGTGTGTCTGTTGAGTGTGGCAGTGAGGTGTCGCATGGTGAGACCATGGACGAGTCAGTCAGTTTGGACCGTAAGTCTGTGTTGATGTCGCAGGAGCGTGTGTCCGTAAAGTGTGACAGTGTTTTGTCGCATGGTGAGACTAAGCAGCCTGATGTGTTGTGCAGTGTGAGCGAGAAGTCTGTTGTTCGTGTTAAAGACCCTAGCGAGGATGCTAAGGGAGTCAAAGACTTTGGTAGGAATACCAAGGGAGATCAGAGACTCGATGTAAGACTCATCGAGGATAAAGAAAGAAGAACAAAGACAAAGAATCAACCTGCAGCTACAGTTCTATTCAGAACTCTGGACCAGTTGAAACAGAGTGAAGTGTTCACTAGTGGTCTGGGACTTGTAGAAGGATTCAAAGCTCAACTGAGGATCAAAGACGACGCTACACCTATATCGTTGAAAGCTCGGATGTTACCGTTTGCTATAAAAGACAAGGTGAAAGAAGAACTCCAAAGAATGGTAGAAGACGGAATCTTAAAGAGTGTGGAAAGTTCTGAATGGGCAACGCCCATTGTTGTGGTTACCACAAAGCAAAAGATAAGGATCTGTGGTGATTACAAGTCAACAGTTAACAAGTGTCTCGCAGTGAAGCAGTATCCTATTCCTTCGTTAGAGGAATGTCTTCATGCAGTCAGAGGAGGTGTTGTGTTTACCGTGGTGGATATAGCCAAAGCGTACAACAATCTCGAGCTGAGGGAAGCAGATAAGACATTGACGACGTTAAACACACCTTTTGGACTCTACCGGTGGAATCGTTTACCTTATGGCGTATCAAGCTCGGGTGCTATTTTTCAGGAAGTAGTGGATGAAGCTCTCAAGGGAATACCGATGACTGCATGTCGGATTGATGACATCATCGTGTCTGGGAGAACAAAGCAGGAACACCTGGAAAACTTGAACCGTGTGATACAAATCTTGGAGAAGAAAGGGTTTAAATGCAACCGTGAGAAGAGCCAGTTCGAGAAAGAACAAGTTGTTTACTTGGGTCACGTTATATCGAAGGACGGTATTAGAACTGTGCAGAGTAAGGTGAAAGACTTACAAGCATCTAAAGTTCCAACGAACACGGAGGAGCTAGTCAGTTTTCTTGGAGCAGTTAACTATTATCGACGATTTCTACCAGATCTATCAACAGTAGTTGCACCACTAGATAGATTGAGGAGCAAAGATGTGTCTTGGAAGTGGACAAAGACGGAACAGAAGTCTTTTGACAAGTTGATTGAGATGCTAGGATCAGATCGAGTTTTGACTTATTATCAGCCGGAGTTGGAGCTAAAACTCGACACAGACGCATCTAGTGTTGGATTGGGCGCAGTGCTGAGCCATGTACTACCTTCAGGGGAGGAACGTCCAATAGAGTATGCTTCTAGGACTTTATCGTCAGCAGAGCGAAATTATGCTCAAATTGATAGAGAAGCGTTAGCGATTGTATGGGGGATCAAGAAGTTCAACATATACTTGTATGGACGGAAGTTTAAGCTGATCACCGACCACAGACCGCTCACTTATATCTTTGGAAAGAACAGACTTCCACAGATGGCTTCAAGTAGAGTAAACCGATGGTCATTATTCCTATCAGAATATGATTATACAATCGAGTACCGGTCAACAAAGCAACATGCAAACTGTGATTTCTTATCCAGATTACCGTGTAGTAAATCTGTGAAAACTTCAGAAGTTCAAGATGATCTAGCTGAGATATTTGCTGTTACTCTGGAGGATGCTTACATTGACGCAGAGCTGATTGCGAGGGAAACTAGAAAAGACCTTGTTTTGAGTAAGGTATTTGGTTACATTCATGAGGGATGGCCAAGTAACTTGAAAGCAGAGGGGGATATGCAAGCATTCTGGAACAGAAGAGATGAGTTAGCATTGGAACTTAACTGTATTACCTGGGGAACGAGAGTGGTGATACCTGCACAGTTAAGAGGTCATGTCATGAAGATCTTACACAGCACGCACATTGGAATGTGTGGTATGAAATCGATAGCTAGAAGCTATGTGTATTGGCCGAGAATAGACGCGGATATTGAAAACACATGTAAAACATGTGATAGTTGTGGAAAGTATGGTAACTCAAAACCTAGAGTCGCTGATCATCCCTGGAATCAACCAACCGGACCATGGCAGCGGGTTCATGTGGATTATGCAGGACCGTTCATGAACAGCATGTGGTTAGTATTGCAAGATGCTTACAGCAAATGGCCGGAAGTTATCAGGATGAACAGTTCAACAGCTCATGCTACCGGGAAAGCGTTACATACGATATTTTCTAGAACAGGATATCCTTGTGTACTGGTTTCTGACAATGGAACACATTTCAAGAACCAGGAAATGAGCGAGTTTACCGAGAAACACAGGATCAAACATCTGTTTATTCCAATCTACAGCCCTAAGACAAACGGGATTGTTGAAAGATTTAACGGAACATTCAAGAAAGCGCTGAAAAAGATGCGGGAAACTAATAGGGATTTGGACGAATGTTTAGCAGAGTTTCTGATCTCCTACAGGAACTGCCCTCATACGGTGACAAATACCCCACCCGCAGTTCTAATGTACGGTAGAACATTACGTTCTAACCTGCACGCATTAAAGCCATCGGATCAACAGAAATTGAAATCTTTACACCCCGACAAGGAACAGAAACTTCTAAATGAAAAGAGGAGAGAGTTTGTGGATAATCAAGACGTCTGGATTCAAGCTACTAACGATAAGACTTGGGAAAAAGCTAAGATATTACAGAGAGTTGGTACGTCGAATGTATACGATGTGGTATACAGAAACCGAGTGATCCAGAAACACGCTGATTCGATAAAAGAGAGAGTAAAAGATGTGTTAAGAAGATCTACAACTGTACCGGACAATGATCACCAGGTTAGAGTTGTGCCGTTTGTACCTGTTGTGGAACCTGTGTTATCTGAGATTGCTGGACCAGTAGTAAGTCCATTGGTTGTGAGTACACCTGAATCTGTGATTACAGCTGAACCAGTTTTTAGAGAACCTGATATTTTAACCGATAGTTTACCTAGTAGAAGTTCTGATATTTCGAATAGAGAGAATGTAAACAGTACACCAGTTAATGTTGATAATCGTAATGTGACAGATGATATTATACCGTTACGTGTTAGTCTTCGATCTAAGCCGAAAGTTGATTATAAGTTACTTGCTGGTTTCAAGAAAACAGCATAATGAACTTAAGATTTGTTTTTAAAATATTTAGTCCAGTATGATAATTGTTCACTGGCAGTGAAATAATTGTTTTTGATGATTTGGTATTTACTTTATGTTGAGCGCGGAATTATTTTCAGAATACAGACTAGCCAGTTAGTAATCTTTTGTACGTGCGCGGCTTATTTTAATATATAATTTAACACGAGGTAAATGAACACGAGGTATATAATTTAATCTTTGTTGTTTATGTCAAGTGGTTTGAAAAT